GGTGAGATCAAACCATGACATTATCCCAGAATTTAACTTTTCTTATATAGATTATTTTTTTCATTTTTATTTTTACATATTTTGCTTTTTTTTTTGTTGAGATTGATATATTTTTTCATGGTACTTACATCTTTATACTCAGAATAAGGATATTCCTATAGATTACAAGACGATACTATAAGGTTTTTTTCCCCATTTAATTATCTATATACCACTTTTTTGTCTCAGAGTAACCTATTCTTATCAGAAGATAATTGGCAGGCAGTATAGTATATTTTGTATATATATATTGTATATATTTTGTTTTGTGTTGCACTCTAGACTGATTGTATAGGTATATCAAGCACTGTACCTTCTTGTACTTGAGCTGTGTATGGGTACACACATTTTTTTGGTTATCTGACATTAAGTGTTTTATACTCTGTCTTTACACTTTTATAGTGGTGGGCAAACCATTGAATAGAACTATCATCAAACCTTAAGTGTCTTTACACAGGATAGATGAGTACTATTTCTAATTTTACTGTTGTGGCAATACATTTATATTCATATATACTTTCTTTCTTGAGTGCCGTATCATTTGGTGGTTTTGTATTCAACCAGTTGGTCAGAGGGTCAGACTGCTCCAGCAATGCTAACAAAAAGGTGCTTCACAGTGAGCTCGCACTTCTGAAAAGCTCAGTGAAATTTACTTGATTTGCCATCATGCATTCATTGACTCAAGTCATCATAATGAACTTGGATGAAACACTATAAGTAGCAAACAATTCTTTGCTACACTTTCATCAATGTAATGCTGGTGACACTAGATTTTGTTTTTAGAACAGAGTAGCATTTTGTTTACAAAAAGATTGATCTTATAGTGCTACTGGTACACAATTCTCTAAAACGATCCCTTTTCCCAGAGAATACATGTATGATAACAACATTTGCACTCCATCTTAGAATGAATTAGTGTTGTGTAAATCAAAAGAATGTAATAAAGCAGAAATATATATATATATATATATATATATAGAAACTATACAATTTCTGGCACTCTTCCCAAATAATAATACATACCAGGTGCTTCTCTGTGCAAAATACTATAAACAAAGCAAAAAATGAGAGCACTCCATGGATTTGGTAAATCAAATTACTGTATTCAAATAGCACAAAAAAAATCGACGTTTCGACCGTCTAGCGGTCTTTATCAAGATGCTGTCATATACAAAAACCTCAAATATATACATAAACGCTTGTTAAACTTACCCAATCACCAAGTGCTCCCTGTGTGTCCAATCTGCCATATGAGTGAAGCCGCAAATTGTGGATCGTTATGTTAATTGCCGTAAAGTGACGTGTGGTGAAATCACCATGTGTTGCCTAGAGACGGCACAGCTGTTTAAAAACCAAATGTCGGCAGAGATTTAAAATCAATACGGAGGATAAATAAAATTATATGTTGCATATGTGTTTTCATAAATGTCTAAGCAACTGCCTAACTGATCGTAGGATACTAGAGTGAGCCAGGAATGGCTAGAAACGATTGCTCATATAGGGACTCAGTTAGAAAGACTGGTGTATTGGTAACTGTGGACCTGTGTAGCCTAATAGAGCTAACTCAAATACTACCTAACTCCTTATTAAATTGGGAACCCTAGCTGGGAAAGCCATGTGTGTTGCCAAATCACAAACCTAAACAATAAGAACAGGCATCAATTACAGAAAACAGGCTGGCTTAGCATAATGTGAGTTGTCAGTATATAACAGAGAGTGTGTGTGATGTTGACCCTTTATCTACTGGGGTCCATTTATAGTGTAGAGTGATCAGCATGTGTGTGATGAAATAAATAAACACAGGGAATATTAAATGGTGAGTGACAAATCAGTATGTGTGAATTCCAAACTAGTAAAAAATAAAGCAAGAATGGGAAAATCCTGTACTAAATCAATCTACGGTATGTATGTGAGACACTGTAGAAAAGAGTGTGTGTGTGCTACTAAGATCATTCTCCGGTGTGTGTGTGTGTGTGAAATGATGTAGTAAAAAATGTGAGTATACTGCCTGACCTCTAGAAATGAGACAATCAATGAAGAGTGAAAAAGACTGTGCAGCTGAAACATGCACTAAAAGTGTAATGAGCCCTCGTGAATAATGAGAATGCACTGTCAGAAAGGTAAGAATGCAATAAAAAAATATATATATATAAATAAATAAATAAATAAATAAAATGAAATAAAAAATATATACAAAATACAATAAAATAAAAATAAATATCAAAATAAATAAAAAACATATAATAAAAATAAAAATAAAAATAACAAAAAATAAAAATAAAAATAGTAAAAATAAACAATAAAGAGAAAATAAACAATAAAAAATGTAACAGTGATCCTACTAACTATATGCCAGTGCAGCCTCCAAGATCGGCATGCTAGGTAATGGAAAAGAGAAAAATTAGGTAAAAGGAGAGAGGGTCCTACTATAAGAACCTTATATCACTGGGTATTTATCAAAAAGCCAAAAGTGCCTAGATGTATGTACTATCCCCAATCACCAATTGGGAGTCCACAACCTTTTCTTGCAGCTCTGTATTGTAACTCCCACCGGCAGGAAATCAGATGGAAATAATTCACAATGTCCTCTTTATTATGGGATGGTCATTAAATCCTGAGTCAAAATCTCGCATCCAAGTCATTTACTGCTCAGCGATATCAACGGATATCCAAAAAACAACTAAATGAGTTGTATTCGTTTAATCCTTTCGGTTGGACCGTATCCAGATGTGTGATCCAAAAGGTTTCCCTTTGTAAAAGTAACTTTGATCTGTCGCCTCCGTGGGATGTGGTCTATCATAATGAACTTAAGCGTGGGTAAATGGTGTTGGAAATCTAGGAAGTGTTTTGCCACAGGTTTATCAGTCTTCCCATCCCGGTACGCCGTCATGATTCCTGATCTGTGACCACGAATACGGTCCCTTACTGTAAGGTCTGTTTTACCCACATAATATTTCCCACATGGGCATGAAATGAGGTATACTACATGGTCACTCATGCAGGTTAGTCGATGTTTGATCTGGATTCTTTTGCCTGTGTGGGGATGTGCAAAGGAAGAGCCTGTCAGCATGTGTCCACAGGTGACGCAACCTGAACACTTGAAACAGCCTTTCTTGGTATGCAATGTTCGTGTATTATATTGGCTCGGTATATCTGTTTTTACTAAAATGTCCTTCAAGTTTCTGTTGCGTGAATATGCGACCCTTGGTTTCTGTAAAAAAACCGGATTAAGTGTTCTGTCGCTGGATAAGATGTCCCATCTCCCTTTAATCCTGTGGGAAAATCTCTGGCTCTCCGTGTGGTATGATAAAGGGATCGTAATTCTGGGCAGATTTTGAAGTTGTTTAGTAGATATGCCCCTGTATATATTTTCTGCTTTTATTTTACATTCTTGGAGCACTTTATATGTGTATCCTCGTTCCACAAAGGATCTGGTCATGTCCTCTAGTTGAGTTTTACATGTGCTTTCCTCCGAGTTATTCCTGTACACTCTTAAGTATTGCGAAATAGGTAAAGACTCCTTTAGGGCTTTGGGATGAGCGCTGTTGGCGTGTAGCAGCGTGTTGCGGTCTGAGGGTTTTCTAAATAATCGATGTCCAATGTTTCGATCCTTCCGGAATATCTCCACATCCAAGAATTGGATTTTATCTGGGCTGTACGTCAAAGTAAATTTAATGGTGGAGTTTAAATTGTTCAGTTCTTCAATCATCTTCTCCAATTCTATTGCCGTGCCTTGCCATAAAATAAAGATGTCGTCCACAAACCTGTGATACTGTATCAAATGTTCCTTATATGTGGACAGAATGTGTCTGCTCTCATATGCATACATAAAACTATTCGCATATGTTGGAGCTATTGCCGATCCCATCGCAGTTCCCATCTCTTGAATGTAGAAATTCTTTTCAAAACGAAAATAATTGTTTGTCAATGTAAGTAGTAATCCTTCTAACAAAAATTCAATGGGGGGACCTTCATAGACATCTGATTGTAATAGCAGTGTTCGCATCGCATCCATCCCCATATTGTGAGGAATCACCGTGTACAAATTTTTTACATCTGCCGTGGCGAAGATGTACTGTGTGTCGTTTAATTCACAGCTGGTGATTTTATTAAGGAAGTCTTGGGTATCCCTTAGGCATGTGGATAATCTGGAGACTGTGGACTTACAATAAAAATCCACGTATTTAGCTATGGGTTCCAGTAAACCTCCTCGAGCGGATACAATTGGTCTCCCAGGTGGTTTCTTTGCGTCCTTGTGTATCTTAGGGAATGTGTAAAGGATCGGAATTTTCGGATGTGTATTGAGCAAATATTCCGCTGTGCTGTGATCCAGCCAATTTGCTGCTGTTCCCAATGTTATCCACTCCTGTATTTTGGTGCTGATCTTGCTCGTGGGGTCAGAGGTTAGCTTTCTGTATGTCTGGGCATCAGATAATTGGGTTAAAATTTCTTCCCTGTAGTCCGTATAGTCCTGTAGGACTATTGCTCCCCCTTTATCTGCTGCTCGAATCACAAGTTGATCATCCCTGCTCAAATCTCTGAGAGCAGTTCTTTCTGCCTGGGTTAAATTATCCGGTTTCTTCTGTTGTTGTGCAAGAATGATGTCCATGTCAGTTTTCAAAATAGTGGAGAAGGTTTTGATGGCATGATGTGTGTATTTAGGTTCCCAAACGCTTTTGAGTTTGAATGATGAGGATGGTCTTACTGTCATGGTATCACGAGTAGCTTGCATATTTAAAATTCTGTTCATTTTGAACAATTCAACCCCGGTTTTAAATGCGTCTGGTTTGGCCGTCGGAACGAATGTAAGTCCTTTGGATAGTACTTGATTGTGGGCATTGGTCAGCGTCTTGGAAGATAGGTTGAAGACTGGATTTATGTCCTTCTGGTTGGTGGTTTGGATCTGGTATTTATAGATCTTGTTCCTCTGTCCTCTTCTGATAAATCTGCGTCTTTTGAACCTCTCCTTGTGCGTTGATATTTGCCAGGGGGATCGTTTGTGTGTCGTTCCAGCCCTAAAAAAGTTGATGATTGGGTTTGTTGTGTATCTCTGATGAGCCCTCCTTGGCTTGAGGTAGTTCTGGTGTCTGTTTCCGAAGTGGAGTCTGCTGAGCTCGTGTCAATGGATAAGAATTGAGGCTTGCGTGTTCGTTGTCTGTTACGTTGGAATGGTAGTCTACGTCTTTCTCCACTAATCCAATGGTATACCTGATGGTGGGTATAGTCGAAATTCACTTTTTCCACTTTTTCCACTTTTTGTTTTTTGAATCTTATGAGATCATTTCTATATCGCATGATTTCGTCCTGTAATTTCACCATATATTGGGTGGATGTGGTTGCGTTTAACGTTGTAACATGCGACATTTCAAACTTGTTAATAGACTCCTTGGTAAAAACTAATTCGTTTTTTACCTCCTCTACCACTATAATCATCCAGTCAAGCGAGCATTTATTGGCTATGCCAATCCATTTTTTACAAAACTCCGGATTTTGTCTCCCAATAGTGGGAGAGTTTCTTACCCTGAAACCTCTTGGAATCCGTTTTGCTCGGTAATAATCTGAGATAAAAATTCCATGCAGATCTAAGTCTACTTCTCGTCTTTTTAACTTCATAAGATCATTGTACAGATCCTTAATGGAATCCGTGTGGGTAAGATCCGCGGTGGTGTTAGGCCAAAGTATGCTTTCAGCTTCTTGCGCTGTAATTTGAATGGTCTCAGCTGTGTCAGCTAGGGCTCCAGCCCTCAACAAATTACAGGACGAAATCATGCGATATAGAAATGATCTCATAAGATTCAAAAAACAAAAAGTGGAAAAAGTGAATTTCGACTATACCCACCATCAGGTATACCATTGGATTAGTGGAGAAAGACGTAGACTACCATTCCAACGTAACAGACAACGAACACGCAAGCCTCAATTCTTATCCATTGACACGAGCTCAGCAGACTCCACTTCGGAAACAGACACCAGAACTACCTCAAGCCAAGGAGGGCTCATCAGAGATACACAACAAACCCAATCATCAACTTTTTTAGGGCTGGAACGACACACAAACGATCCCCCTGGCAAATATCAACGCACAAGGAGAGGTTCAAAAGACGCAGATTTATCAGAAGAGGACAGAGGAACAAGATCTATAAATACCAGATCCAAACCACCAACCAGAAGGACATAAATCCAGTCTTCAACCTATCTTCCAAGACGCTGACCAATGCCCACAATCAAGTACTATCCAAAGGACTTACATTCGTTCCGACGGCCAAACCAGACGCATTTAAAACCGGGGTTGAATTGTTCAAAATGAACAGAATTTTAAATATGCAAGCTACTCGTGATACCATGACAGTAAGACCATCCTCATCATTCAAACTCAAAAGCGTTTGGGAACCTAAATACACACATCATGCCATCAAAACCTTCTCCACTATTTTGAAAACTGACATGGACATCATTCTTGCACAACAACAGAAGAAACCGGATAATTTAACCCAGGCAGAAAGAACTGCTCTCAGAGATTTGAGCAGGGATGATCAACTTGTGATTCGAGCAGCAGATAAAGGGGGAGCAATAGTCCTACAGGACTATACGGACTACAGGGAAGAAATTTTAACCCAATTATCTGATACCCAGACATACAGAAAGCTAACCTCTGACCCCACGAGCAAGATCAGCACCAAAATACAGGAGTGGATAACATTGGGAACAGCAGCAAATTGGCTGGATCACAGCACAGCGGAATATTTGCTCAATACACATCCGAAAATTCCGATCCTTTACACACTCCCTAAGATACACAAGGACGCAAAGAAACCACCTGGGAGACCAATTGTATCCGCTCCAGGAGGTTTACTGGAACCCATAGCTAAATACGTGGATTTTTATTGTAAGTCCACAGTCTCCAGATTATCCACATGCCTAAGGGATACCCAAGACTTCCTTAATAAAATCACCAGCTGTGAATTAAACGACACACAGTACATCTTCACCACGGCAGATGTAAAAAATTTGTACACGGTGATTCCTCACAATATGGGGATGGATGCGATGCGAACACTGCTATTACAATCAGATGTCTATGAAGGTCTCCCCATTGAATTTTTGTTAGAAGGATTACTACTTACATTGACAAACAATTATTTTCGTTTTGAAAAGAATTTCTACATTCAAGAGATGGGAACTGCGATGGGATCGGCAATAGCTCCAACATATGCGAATAGTTTTATGTATGCATATGAGAGCAGACACATTCTGTCCACATATAAGGAACATTTGATACAGTATCACAGGTTTGTAGACGACATCTTTATTTTATGGCAAGGCACGGCAACAGAATTGGAGAAGATGATTGAAGAACTGAACAATTTAAACTCCACCATTAAATTTACTTTGACGTACAGCCCAGATAAAATCCAATTCTTGGATGTGGAGATATTCCGGAAGGATCGAAACATTGGACATCGATTATTTAGAAAACCCTCAGACCGCAACACGCTGCTACACGCCAACAGCGCTCATCCCAAAGCCCTAAAGGAGTCTTTACCTATTTCGCAATACTTAAGAGTGTACAGGAATAACTCGGAGGAAAGCACATGTAAAACTCAACTAGAGGACATGACCAGATCCTTTGTGGAACGAGGATACACATATAAAGTGCTCCAAGAATGTCAAATAAAAGCAGAAAATATATACAGGGGCATATCTACTAAACAACTTCAAAATCTGCCCAGAATTACGATCCCTTTATCATACCACACGGAGAGCCAGAGATTTTCCCACAGGATTAAAGGGAGATGGGACATCTTATCCAGCGACAGAACACTTAATCCGTTTTTTTTACAGAAACCAAGGGTCGCATATTCACGCAACAGAAACTTGAAGGACATTTTAGTAAAAACAGATATACCGAGCCAATATAATACACGAACATTGCATACCAAGAAAGGCTGTTTCAAGTGTTCAGGTTGCGTCACCTGTGGACACATGCTGACAGGCTCTTCCTTTGCACATCCCCACACAGGCAAAAGAATCCAGATCAAACATCGACTAACCTGCATGAGTGACCATGTAGTATACCTCATTTCATGCCCATGTGGGAAATATTATGTGGGTAAAACAGACCTTACAGTAAGGGACCGTATTCGTGGTCACAGATCAGGAATCATGACGGCGTACCGGGATGGGAAGACTGATAAACCTGTGGCAAAACACTTCCTAGATTTCCAACACCATTTACCCACGCTTAAGTTCATTATGATAGACCACATCCCACCGCTCACAAGAGGAGGCGACAGATCAAAGTTACTTTTACAAAGGGAAACCTTTTGGATCACACATCTGGATACGGTCCAACCGAAAGGATTAAACGAATACAACTCATTTAGTTGTTTTTTGGATATCCGTTGATATCGCTGAGCAGTAAATGACTTGGATGCGAGATTTTGACTCAGGATTTAATGACCATCCCATAATAAAGAGGACATTGTGAATTATTTCCATCTGATTTCCTGCCGGTGGGAGTTACAATACAGAGCTGCAAGAAAGGGTTGTGGACTCCCAATTGGTGATTGGGGATAGTACATACATCTAGGCACTTTTGGCTTTTTGATAAATACCCAGTGATATAAGGTTCTTATAGTAGGACCCTCTCTCCTTTTACCTAATTTTTCTCTTTTCCATTACCTAGCATGCCGATCTTGGAGGCTGCACTGGCATATAGTTAGTAGGATCACTGTTACATTTTTTATTGTTTATTTTCTCTTTATTGTTTATTTTTACTATTTTTATTTTTATTTTTTGTTATTTTTATTTTTATTTTTTTATTTTTATTATATGTTTTTTATTTATTTTGATATTTATTTTTATTTTATTGTATTTTGTATATATTTTTTATTTCATTTTATTTATTTATTTATTTATATATATATATATATATTTTTTTTATTTTTTTTTATTGCATTCTTACCTTTCTGACAGTGCATTCTCATTATTCACGAGGGCTCATTACACTTTTAGTGCATGTTTCAGCTGCACAGTCTTTTTCACTCTTCATTGATTGTCTCATTTCTAGAGGTCAGGCAGTATACTCACATTTTTTACTACATCATTTCACACACACACACCGGAGAATGATCTTAGTAGCACACACACTCTCTTTTCTACAGTGTCTCTCATACATACCGTAGATTGATTTAGTACAGGATTTTCCCATTCTTGCTTTATTTTTTACTAGTTTGGAATTCACACATACTGATTTGTCACTCACCATTTAATATTCCCTGTGTTTATTTATTTCATCACACACATGCTGATCACTCTACACTATAAATGGACCCCAGTAGATAAAGGGTCAACATCACACACACTCTCTGTTATATACTGACAACTCACATTATGCTAAGCCAGCCTGTTTTCTGTAATTGATGCCTGTTCTTATTGTTTAGGTTTGTGATTTGGCAACACACATGGCTTTCCCAGCTAGGGTTCCCAATTTAATAAGGAGTTAGGAGTATTTGAGTTAGCTCTATTAGGCTACACAGGTCCACAGTTACCAATACACCAGTCTTTCTAACTGAGTCCCTATATGAGCAATCGTTTCTAGCCATTCCTGGCTCACTCTAGTATCCTACGATCAGTTAGGCAGTTGCTTAGACATTTATGAAAACACATATGCAACATATAATTTTATTTATCCTCCGTATTGATTTTAAATCTCTGCCGACATTTGGTTTTTAAACAGCTTTGCCGTCTTTAGGCAACACATGGTGATTTCACCACACGTCACTTTACGGCAATTAACATAACGATCCACAATTTGCGGCTTCACTCATATGGCAGATTGGACACACAGGGAGCACTTGGTGATTGGGTAAGTTTAACAAGCGTTTATGTATATATTTGAGGTTTTTGTATATGACAGCATCTTGATAAAGACCGCTAGACGGTCGAAACGTCGATTTTTTTTGTGCTATTTGAATACAGTAATTTGATTTACCAAATCCATGGAGTGCTCTCATTTTTTGCTTTGTTTATATATATATATATATATATTTGTGGTCGGAATTTAATCGATTATGGAATGGGGTAGGTGGTGTAGAGTTGGTTGAGCTATGCTGAAACCAACGAACGAGTAGGCCTGTAATAAAAGAGGGTCTACTAAGGTAATGATAATAATATGTGAGGGGTGTGGTGGGTGGGGTCAACCAGCGAGAACGACATAGGTGAGTAGGAGCCTGGGGTTTAAATAGGCAAATAACTCCTCCCACAAATTCTAATGGCCTAATGGCCTTTCTACATATATATAATCCACGATCCTGCACTCACATTTGTAGTATAAGTGCCACAGTGCTCTTTCAGCCAAATCAACATAAATCTCCACAAAGAAAGGCACACGCTGGGCTTTTTGAAGAAAATTATTTGTCTTTATTCATAAC